GCGAAAGCTTTATTTTTTAATTTAGTGTGTTGGCCTACACTTTACGCTGATCGCACGCGCGCAAGTAGGCCTATACATTTCGTGACTGTATGTTTGCGCTGACGTCATGTGGGGTTTTTGCCGGTGTTCGGGGTTCGAGTCCTAAGACTGGCATATGGTCGCTTTTAAGCACAAGGGGGCTATCCCGAAAAATGCTGTTTTGAGAAAATCGAAGGTAAAGTTTTTGCCCCTTCTTCAGTTTCTTTAAAATACAAGGAGAGTTTTCTCTATGACCAAACAAATATACACACCAATGAAACCAAACTTCTCCTATAGGTAGGGCAAGATTTCTGGAAACCTCCGAAATCTGGGTTAGCCCGTTTGTCCTTAAAAGTGACCATATTATGTAAGTTTGAAAAGTTTTTATAATACTATAGATCTATATAGACAACCGAGGAGTTTTCTTCGCCTTTACCGTATCGGAACCCGAAAAGAATTCTATTATTGTCAACCGTTTTCTCTCCCTCCCCCCCTCCCCCCTCACCCCAATATCTTACCTCAGCGATGTTCAAATAGATGTTTTTTTAAATTGCGTTTGACCGAAGCTGGCATGTATGAAGGAGGAGGTTTAAGAGAATGATATTATACATTATTGTATATGGGAATATCCGCACATTTTGAGTACGAATTGGTCTATCTGTCCAGTGTGCATGGCTATAAGGAGGCGTTGAAATCTGATCTCTGCGTGTGATAGTCTTGCGTTCAAACCTCTTGTATTTTTAAAGATAACAAAATCCACCCCCAACAAATAATTTTAAAAATCCAGAAGGAATTAACGCAATGCAAAAAAGAGAAAGAAGAAGATGGAGAGATATAGGAAGAGAAAGAAAATGAGGAAGGGTTTCGTTTTGAGAGGCTCGGTAGGTCAGTGAGTGCGTTTACTGTCAGTTTAGAGGGAGGATGACTATAGCAGAGAGAAAGAGAGAGAGAGAGAGAGAGAGAGAGAGAGAGAGAGAGAGAGAGAGAGAGAGAGAGAGAGGGAGAGAGAGAGAGAGAGAGAGAATAGATAGAGGAGGGGGGTAGACAACAAATGTCATACTCCTAGACACTTAGGCAAACCTTATGCTCGCAGTAGTCCGCCTTGTGAAGGTACCCATCCCGCAGGTAACCAAATTGTAATTGAACAGGTTTCACACCTCCATCTACCAATTGTCAGGTGTGCTGACAAAATGAGTTACTTCTCACATTTTAGCCCGATTGAAATAGAAACATCAATTTTATAAGTTGAATTTTTCCAATTTATTAGCATGAAATATCATAAAAGACGTGTTGAACTTGAAGAGAATGGCATTGGTTTAGAATCTACAAATGTGACCCTTGTGTTGATTTTTTGGCTGATATCTCCATTCATGGATTGTGAGAAGTAACTCATTTTGTCAGCACGCTTCACAATTTTAGATAAGTTGTGTCACAACGCGGTGGACTCAGGCGCTCGTCAATTTTTGGGCCTATAATATATAATATGGAGTTACTGGTATCATCATAAAGCATGTTCATTTGCCTTGCTTTGAATAAAAAAAATTCTTCTATCTTGAATAGAAAGAAGTCGAGATATTTGCGATTGAAGGAGGTGGGGGTCACCGGGTTCAGAGGTAAAATTAACGAGAATATTATGGCTTCCATAGTTTGGTGACTTCCATAGCTTGAGAGTCCTTGAAAACTGAAAATGTACAGTTTTTGTCCTTTTAATCAACGTATTTCGGTAAAAATCCACACAGAAATAATCGCTGAGCTGTGCAGTCTGTGACGCGTCTGTATGTATTCAGCAAGGAGATTATAATGAGGTCCTTGGTATACAGTCAAACGTTCACCGAAGGCTCTCGTGGTCAAGAGGTTAAAGAGTTCGCCTCCCATTCAATAGTTCCTAAGTTTGAATCTGGAGAGCGGTGGAAAACTGTCTTCTTAAAAAATGTCTCCTTTAACATCCTTTCCCGCTCTCTAACAATGTTCTGTCGTCTGCTTTCGTCACCACTCACTGCTTCCACCCCCTCACCCATTTTGCCCCCTCCTCTGGGCTCCTGACTCTTTCTGCAGCCTTTCTAGTACAACTGCTTGGCTCCTTCTTACAGCTGTCTTTCAGCCACACCCCTGAACTTTCTGTAGAAAAGGTCTACACCTAGCCTTCTCGGACAAGGGCGAAAAATCTCGGAGGTCCCGTGTGCAAGATGCGCATGTTTAAGATGCCAGTTGTCCAAAATCGATAAGAGAAGGCTCCCGCCGCCACCTGGGCAAAATTTAAGATTTCCTACGTACTAATATGTTGTATGTGTCCCGCGCACTCATATGACCTTATGCAGTTGCGAGCGCCGTAAAACACTTTAAAAAACCCAGAAAAAATAGGGAAATAAAAACGTTCACAGGATTAAACAGATAGAACACCCACACAGGGGTATTAGTTTTAGTAAAAGTTTTACGGCATTTGCAACACAAACAGTTCATGATATAAGTGGCGAAGATTATGTTTATTATTAGGGAGTATCATACAAAGAAAAGGAGAGGAGATAAAGACGATTGAAGACGTTTGATGGGAACGAAGGAACAAACCATGACGAGAGCACTCGCCAACCACCCAGTAACCAGAAATATCCGTGACTTGCATCCGTCCGTTTTATGATAAACCTTTTGCGAGTCACGAGTGCTTCTGGCGGCGTCATTCAGTACGTCATTTCGAGCGTCCACATCTGGTGTTGGGGTCGTCAGTGGGTGCTCTAAAGTGGACTGTACCTAAATTAGGTCAGGTGGGTGCCAGGAGAGTCTTTGTTTTGTTTTAGTAGAGGTTTTACGGCGCTCGCAACTGCATAAGGTCATATCGTGAGCGCCAAGGGGTGGATGTCAACAGAGAAGTCCAAACGGGGGATCAGGCCTACTCTACTCACCTCTCGAGCCTCAACAGCGCAGTCAGCTTCGACTATCAAGGCACCCAGGAAATAGCAGTTCACAGTAGAGTGACAAACATACAAAAGAAAAAGAAGCAGAGGAAAAATGACGATAGTAAGAATGAGGAAAGAAAAAGCAGCAGTTCCCCCTATGTTGTTCCGGCACAGTTATGAGCATGACATTGATAAATCAGCCCATTTACAATTCTACTATGCATAAGAG